TTTTTTTTGTCAGGACCAAATACATAATGAGCTTTTTTTCCAGAAAAACCTTCCTACGCTGTCTTTAAACACATTCAGGACACTTTTCCCACTATATACTACATCCTGACATTTTTTCAGGACATTTTGGAACGTGAGATTTTTTGACAAAAACGACATGCTATAGTATGACTTTTTAGGGTCCGAGCACACCAGTGCAAGGACCGTATTGTAGCTCTTGTGATTATTATCATTGTTATTATTTATTATTATTATTATTATTCATTATTATTTATTGTTATTTCATTGACTCTTGAAACGCGATTTTGAGGGCCCAAGCATGCTCGAAAACAACAAACAAGTCAAAGTGGTGTCATGTATCCAACCCATCCCTACCCTGGTGATGGGATTGATGGTGATGTTAGACCCGATTCTTTAGTTGGAAGCCCAAGAACAAGCCGGAGAAATCTTCAGTTCTCAGATGCAGAATTTATTTCAGTCACAGGTAAAGTTTTCCAGCGCTGGAATTCAGAGGGACAGAGAGGAATCTCATGTCCAGCTGAACTCAGTGTTTTCGGTTCCAGGTTACAGATATCTTCTTGGGCTGGGCCTGCCCTGAACATAGATAAGATTTAATTGGCCAGTTACTAATGGCGTGGACAGGCATACTTCTACGCTCTGTCCACGTCCTTGACATTGTTGGTAAGCAACGTGTGTGGATGTTGTCGGTACGGCGTGTAGCTAAAGTAACAATCGTATGTAAATAGAAAAGAGGAGTTTCTGCTGTCTCCAAGTGTGTGAACCGGTTCTCACCGGCCATATTATCTTCAAGGACATATGCTGTTCTCAGTAGGAAAATACGAAACAGAATCATAGGCTCAGTGGAAAATACAGATTCAGAATACATAATAGCTCAAAACATACTGAATTCTAACAGTGACAAGGATCAACATTCACTATTAAAAGTCAGAGGATTTTTTAAAAATGTTATAATAGAGTGAGAGATGCTGTTAATTAGTTTTAGAGGTGCAGGTAGACCAATTTCTTTGCCTTTGTATACACTCAGGCTAGCTGTTTGCCCTTGTTTCCGGTATTTGTGCTATGCTCAGTTACCCCGCTGCTGGCAGCTTAATATTTACAAAGCAGACATGTGAGTCGTATCAGTCTTCCCATCTGGCTTTTGGCAAAACAGCGAATAAGCATATTTCCCAAAATGTCAAACTATTGCATGTGGCATGGGACGACGAAGGGGAATGAGAAACAGCCTTTGAGCCTAACCATGTATGTGCAGTGTATTAATATTGTCTGGGATGTTGTGTTGCTGCACAACCGCTGCACGTGGTGCACAGAGCAGCATCTCATTCCCACAGTTCAAACAGACAAGGCTGTCACCAGTGTGCACCAAACACTTCAGAAGAATGTGTCAACTTTGCCCCACTAAGGAGGGGCAAAGCTGGCTTGTCTTTTAGCCAGAGAGAAAGGCTGGCGGGATTGGGGCAGGGGGGGAGTTGCAGAGTCAGGAGAGAGCCAGAGCAGTGGCAACGTTACTAATGAGCAACAGGTGCTAGAGGGCAGTAGCATGGAAGCCATCTGTACCGCTGGAAGGCATCTATCCACATAGGCAGTGAAAGACACTAACACACGCACACTAAACTCATTGACACCAGCAGATAAAATATAACGTGTCAGTCGTGCTAGTGTGGTTTGCTGGGTCATCACTTGACCTTCCTTCTGCTTTGAAAGTTGCCAGAGCTGAATTGTGACCCTGGTCAGATCGACCTCGGTCACCACTGACAGACACATGCACTCAATCACCCGCTCGCCGGCTGCCTTCACGCCGGCTTCAGGCACATTGAGGGCATATGAAAGTTAGTTCTATACTGTTTTGTGACGTGATTATCGTCATTTTGTTTACTTCAGGAGAATAAGTTCAACCCCGAGGTAGTGGAGCACATCTATCAGCACAACCCCATCCTGAAGTACACCCAGGGCCCCCTGTACGCTCCTCTTCTGCCCTTCCCCTACGGCAGTCTGGAGCACACATGTGAGTAATCAAGATTTACACGTCATACATTACCATAACAACTAATTGTGAAGTTACAGGTAAAAACAATGCATTTTTACAGCACGTTAGGTGTTGCAGACTGGCTGAATCTTCCATCAAGTTGATATGAAATGGTTAACAAATGCACATCTTTACTGCATTATTAGTTCTATCTAACAGAAACAAACCATTCAAACAGTTAGCATCTATTTTCTGTAAAGGCAGTGTTGTTAAATGGAAATAGGCAGCGTTATCTTTGCAGTTGCTATGGTGTTTGACTTGATGAGAGGCAGTTTTAAGCACAATGCAATGCAGATTACTGTAACAACTATTCTTGGCCTGGCTGTTTTATTAAAACAAGAACAAACAGGACCACACAGGAAAACCAAAAAAAGATCAGATATTAACAACAATACCACTCTAAAATAACTGGATAAAGAGACGTATAAGGTAGTTATTTGAAGGATTACAGAATTAGATTTATTGTCATTATGCCGTAGTGTATGACAGCAGTATTTTGAGCATAATGATTCCTCTAATCCAAGTTTCTCACAAAGCAGAGTGACATCACTTAGGGATCACACCTAATTCATATTTTCTTCAGCTAAAAAGGGATCACGATGAAGCTAATGAGACACTGACATAATCAGTTTTACAAAATATTTCTTTGCTGCAACTCAGTGTTTACACGACAAAATGTGACCATGTTTGAAATATATCTGTAAGAAATTAAAGGGAAAGCAAGAAGAGTTGTTGTTCTTGTGGTACAACATGATGTTGCTGTGCTCATCCTCTTCCTCTCTCCCAGACCACAGTGGGAAAGGCTACGGCTCGGTGCGTGAGGAGGCCGTGAAGCTCTTCAACTGCCTCCAGCAGCTGGAATCGGCACGAGAGCCGGTTCCCATCATCCAGGGTGTGCTGCAGACCTGCCTGGACCTGCGCCCCCTCCGCGACGAGGTCTACTGCCAGCTGGTGAAGCAGACCAGCTACACACCTTCCCCATATACTGCTGCACATCTCCGTTACTGGCAGCTGCTCACCTGTATGAGCTGCACCTTCCTGCCTGGGTCCACAGTGCTCAAGTACCTGCGATTCCACCTCAAGAGGTGAGATGCACGCACACGAGGATACTAAAAGGGCTGAAGAGGTGACACAGGTGACTCTAAATGTTTTTTAGAACTGATTAAAATCTACATGCCACAACTTAAAAACCAGCAAAGAGGTAAGGTGCTGTTAAAGTTGCAGGATGTGAGTACAATTATTTGCTTTGTGTAGCTCAGATTAATGTACTTAAGACTCAAACCATGAGTTCCCATGAGCCCCAGTTTTAATGCTTAAAACTGTTTCTGTTTTTTTCCTTTTGCAATATAGTGCCAATGTGGCGTCCAGGCTGAGTTTGTTAATGTTCAATTTAGCACAAATAAATCCATCTGACTGGAGAAAGCTGTTCACAGCATCTCCTACTTGTAATTACAAGTGGAAAGACGGATTTTTCTTGTTTTTTCTGGCCCTAATTTATCCCACTGGGAAACATGACTTGTGGAAGACAGGTGGAAAACACTACAGCGTATCCACCCATGTTGACAGCCCGAGGTAATAGACTCCAGTTGCCACTTAACAGCAATGTTGCATGTTGTTTTTAAATCCCTGAGAATGATTTTACATGAGAGCGAGCTGAATTAAAAGTGAACACAAGTTGGAGCAGCAAGATGCCATCACGATCCCATATGAGTGGGACATCAGACCAGGAGTCAGCTGTTGAACTGGGAAATGAAGGTGAACCAGTCGGGTGCAGTAGCTGGGAAAACACGGGGTCTAGACATCAGAGAAAAAGCAGGCGCCAGAATCCCTAACCACCAGTTTAGATATAGTAGCATGATATGCCTTCACATTGTTAGCATGTTCCCCCAGACAGATCCAGTGTGTCGGGGCTGGATTTGCAGTTCTGAATTAGCCCCTCTGTCAAGTATGCTAATCTAAGTTATTAGCAGAGCTAATCTCCTGCTCCAGATTTTCTGTCTAACGCCATGCCATCAAACCACTAAAGTTTTCTATCTATATTTCCATACTGGGAATCGCCCTTTAACTAATGGAACAGTTGCATGCAATGGCAATTCATAATAACACTGTGGAACTCGCTGGCTGCATGTTTTGATACATCTCGCTGCTGCTCTCACGCACTCTCTCGCTCTGTGGATCAGCGCTGAGGCTGCAGCTGGGCAGAGCTAAGACTGGAGCTGGGCAGTGGGCCCAGAAACCCTCCTCCACTCCCCCAGTGCCCTGAGAAACCCCCAGGGAATGTCTGCTGTCAGAGAGAATAGGCCAGAAGAAAGAAAGCAGAGGAGAAGGAGGGGGCAAGAAAGCAGGAAACAGCAGAAAGGGGCGAAGAGAGTAGAGCATAGGAAGGATCACAGAGACTCAGTGGAACATTCCTAATTACGTTTCAGTAGGACAAATCCCACCCTGTGGCCATGGAGTTATGAGATAGCAAGACATCAGAGTGAATGAGTGGGCTTCTCTGTGTCTGGCAAAATGTTTGAGGCCTTCTCATGCACCTCTTTCTGCCCTACGTTTTGCTTACTTTGGGACAAACATCAGAGTATAATTGGTTCCTTCCTATTTGTCCCTCTCTGTTTACACAAGGCTGAGCTCCATCAGGTTGTATTTCACACCTTTCTCACTCACCTAATGTGAAAGACTTCAGGCTCCAGTAGGAGTATGTCGTCCGCTGCCTTTGTGTCCCCCTCTTTTAAAACAACTGCACACACACACATATACACTCACCTTACCACTCCTGGACACTCCACTGGGAGGAAGTGGCAGGTCACTCTGGTTCACAGGAGCGGAAACACCTTTTCCTGTTTCGTGTGCTACCCAAAGTCAAACATGTTTTCTTTGCCGTTTTCCTTTTCTTTGAAGGATTGAGGGATGTTGAGTCTTTTAAGTCTCTAACAGCTAAAGTGAGAACATTTGTCATTCCGCGCCTCATTGACTTTTTAGCATTGCCAGCCCAAAGAAAATAAAGAACTCGGTTGAATCACAAGGATGACGCAAAGTCCATAATCACGGCATAACACTTTGCAGATTTTGAGTCACTGTTAACATCACGAGCATTAACAACTTTGCTCTTTTAAGTATTGAACATTTACGTTTTCTTTGGCAGACATGCGGCAAATCTAAAGGCGCGCACAAGCGAACACGAACACGCACACATGCCTGTGTCACTCTCTCACACTTTTACTCTCTCTTGCAGGATCCAGAGCCAAAGTCCCGAGTCTGAGATGGATAACTATGCATCATTCATCAGCGAGGCTCTGGAGAAGACCAAGTGTCGGGAGTGTGTGCCATCCTGGGAGGAAATCCAGATGCTGATGAGCCGACAGGAGATGCTGTGCACGGTGCACTACCCTGGCCCTGGGTCCTGCCAGCTTTACATCAGCTCACACACCACTGCCAATGAGGTTTGAGAGCATTTGTCTGCATTCTGCTTGGCAAAAGAACTTTTCTCAGACTTTCGGCTTCTCACGTGTTCCTCTTTAAAGTATCTGATCTGGAGCATACTCGCACTACAAAGCCGTGACAATCACAAAAATTGAATTTCTGCCTCCTCTGTTTTCACTCTTAAAGGGATTGTTTGGTTTCTTTGAAGTGGGGTTGCATGAAGTACTAAGCCTTAGTCAGTGTTTTGTGGATGGAGTCAGCAAGAAAATCTGGTTTTGCCACGTACAAAAAGGCCCACCTAAATATATCAGTATTAGTTTAAGGCATGGTAAAACTTGACTATTTTCACTGCTTTATCTTGCCATCAGACAGCCCTTTCCGACAAGCCACTGAAGCCGGTAAAGCTCTCTCTTCAAAGCCACCAGAGTACATTGATAAAAACAGTAATTTTGCCCTCCATTGTATGGCTTTGATGCTTTGAGACATTAATTTGGATCCAAAATAACATGCTAATACAACAAAGCCACAAAATATCAAACAATTTAACTGACTCAGGCGGCGGTAGACCAGCGACTTCCAGGAAGTGCAGACCGCCATCTACTGCAAGTAATACACCAACTATTAGGAGGTACCTCATACAACCCCACTTCAAAGAAACTCAACCTTCCCTTGTCTTTAAAGTCTAACAATTTGTGTCTCCATCTGTCTTTTCAACCCCACTTCCCCTTCTTGTCCCTCTCCAGGTGGTTCGGAGGATGCAAGAGAAGCTCGGCCTACAAGAGAGCAAAAACACGTTTGCACTGTATGAGCAGAATGCACTGTGGGAGCAGCCGGTCACAGGGAGCGCTCTGATCGCAGACATCCTGACCAGGTTAGAAAAGTGATGCAGTCTGCCTTCACACTGTGGAACCGAGCAGACACAAGAAAACCAAAGCAGAAAGGCGCGCTATCACAGACTCTTGTCCAAAAAATTTCAACTATTTGACAGCCATGGCAGACGGCGTATTTATCTTCTCTAGTCCAACTCCTATGCTGAGTGTTATCCAGTATCCTTGATAACCGGTGACCTTGTCTGGTCTTGTTGGTCAAACATGACACCCCGCTGGGAAACCGGAGTGGTCATTTTACTGTCAGCAAAGCCAGCCAGCCACTGAATAGCCAAGGTGAAGATGATGTCATTTAATTGTACAAGGCAAAGTCTCAAATAAAACGATAAGGCGTCCAGTTGGAATAAAAAGGATTTGTGTTTTTTTAGCAGGCGTGGGCATCTGTGTCCTTGCAGTGTTGAGTGACAGGGTAAACATGAAACTGCCAGGTTACTTAACAACAATGATGCACATTGAGGAGGGGATATCTTGTAAAATATTAACATGAAGGCTTAGGATTCTTAGTATATTTTTTTCCCCCAACCCAGCTTTAACTCTTTCCATCCCTCTTCTGTGCAGCTTCACCACCAAAGAGTCAGAGTCTAAATCCCAATGGAAGCTGTGTTTCAAGCTCTACTGCCTGCTGGATGCCGACAGCATATCAGTGGACAGCATCGAGTATTTCTTCCTCTTTGAGCAGGTAACAGAGCAGAACACGGGTCTCCAAAGGGCAGAATTCTCCTTTGACGACGCCTGCGTTATAAAGGAACATTCCAGTGCTGATAATGAGTTCTAATTTATTGTCCTGAAGTGATTCATTCCTTCTATTTCATTGGATCATTTATGCTTTTATTTAACAATCTGCAATCACAGTCTGTAATGTCTTATGGGCTGTGATTGCAATAAAATTCTGTGCATAAAAAGCATGACTAAGAGCACTGGCTGGAGTGCAGAAGGGGCAAAAGGCAGCCAACACTGGCTTCATTAAAACATTTTTCCTGAGGACTCCCATAAAAGAGTTATAGGACAAAATAAAACTGGGTGTGGAAGGAAGGCTTGATGACAGGACTGAGGCTATTACTGACAAACTGTACCTTCGTTTTGTTTTGTTCTGACTTTCTCTGTCTTCGACCTTTGTGCTGCAGTGCCATGAGATGGTGGTGCGCGGTCAGCTGCCAGCCTGTGAAGAGGACCTGCAAGCGTTAGCAGCCCTGAGGCTTCAGTGCTTGATGGGTGACTTTAGCACGCACGCCCCATGCCCACCTCTGGATGAGCTTTTCCCAGGCCACATGCTTGAAACTCGGGTTCTGATGTCTCTTGCTGCCCCGCAAGCTATGCCTCCTTGTCAGGTGGCAGCTCAGGGCTGTCCCGCGACACAGCGCTTCCCTACGGGCCTCCTGGCGGGGACGCTGTGGAGCCACACGGCTACAGCGGCACACAAGCAAAAGGTGGAGCAGGACATGCGTCTGCGGAGCCGGCTGAAGGAGGAGGCAGCAGCCGTCATGGGATCCATCTTAGATCGATGGAAAGGTCTGGCCGGCTACAACCGCAGGGACAGTATGGCCGCCTACCTCACAATTGCACGCCAGTGGTCGGGCTTTGGATGCACTCTGTATGAAGTCGACTTTTATATTGTGAGTATTGTGAGGTCATGCTTTAGTTTTATTGTAGTTTTTTCCCGCAAAAAAGTTTTGCTCCCTCAGGGTTTCAGAGCCACTTAATGTGAATCAAGGAACGACGCTGAGCTGTTTTGACATTTGCTCACCTCTTTCTGCCTACAGAGTTCAACAGGGAGCTTTTCCCAGAAGCTGTGGCTGGGTGTAGCTGCTACATCCGTGTCTCTGTATAAACAGGGAGAATCAGAGGCCTTGGAGTCCTTCCCGTACGGCCAGATTTGCTCTTACGGCGTATCTGACAGCAACACCTTCAAGATCACAGCTGGGGACCGAGATCTGCTATTTGAAACCACCAAGGTATGGTGACTCATGTTCGAGGTTAGCACATACAGAACGAGGGGGAGGGGAGCAAAACCATTCACCAGAGCCGTTTCTCCACCGAGTTTAGACGATCTCAGTCTCCACTGCAGTCAGGATTCAGTTTGTGTACAGTGCAGGGCCTTATCATCAAGCAGCACTCCGCAGAGTGAGAGAAAGACACATGCTGTCTGCTCATGATACCCTCCTCCCTGCAGCTCTTTGACCCACTTTAAAAACACTCATTAATTTGGTCTAAATAGAGAGCACACAACCTGCCCCTACTCTCCATCTGATGGTAACCACCAAGAATCTAACTTCCTGGCATTAAATGACCAAGGGTGAGTTTTATTGCAGTGGTTAGATTAAAATATTAGTCAAAACATTTCTCAGAAACATGGATGTTCTTCCAAACAGACATTTTTTTTTTCCTGTCAAGAACAAATCTTGCCTTTCACTGGGCTGATTTGCTTGCATCTTCCCACAAGGAACAAAAAATCCCTCTGTGATCTCTCGTGGGGCACAAAAGTGGCTTTTATTTATTTATTGGACGCACAGACGAATTGAAATGCAGCTCAGAAAGACTTATGAACTTCATATTGCTCTGACATGAGTACGCAGGGTTTTGAGCTGGAGGGCAGGGGGAAAGAAAAAAAAAAAAAAGGAGTGCACAAATTTGCAGGGGAGGTTAGGTTTGGAGTTGAGAGTGAGTGCAAGATTAGCTGCTGTTTCAAGGGTTATGGTTAAAGCTGAAGAGCAGGTGACGGTTGAGGCGGGAGACTGTTTCACCCGGGGCTCTCACACACCATGTTTAGTCGAGCATTAGCAGGGTGAGGCTAACGATCACAGTGGCTTCTGGTGGTTTGGTGGTCACGTCCGCCGAGGTCGGGGTAGCGTAGAAGCACATGAACAAATGAACTCTTCCACAGTGCGGTCCTTTCATTTGTTCTGCAACAGCTGCTGAACGAACTATGCCAAAGTGATGAAATATCCACACACATGTAAGACCTCTTTTTTTTTTTTTTCTCCCCTCGATAAAAGGGGCGTGCATGTCCTCTAGAATCTGCCAAACAACATCATCCTCTGCTTCTGGAGGATCCAGTTTTTCTAGCAGCTGGATGACATCATGCTTCTCCACCCTCTTGTGACAGTGCCAGACAGACACTGAGACTGCCACCAATTTGACCTCCCTCTCTCTCTCTCTCTCCCTCCATCACAGCTGACTGAGATCATGCAGCTGATGAATGCGTATTTCAGTGCCATCCATCGCCAGCGAGGAAAAGGGGAAGGTGCAGACATCACCATCACAGAAAGCACAGAGGTGGGCTTCCATCATCTGGGCTCAACACCCAAGCTCCTGGAGCTGCCCTCCCACCCCGTTTGAAAGGAGGGACCCATAGCCAGACAACCTCCCCTCCAGCTCCCCCGACCCTTGCAGTCCTCCTCCACGTGGCCCCCCTATGAGGCCCAGTCCTCAGGACCCCGCGCCTCCTCCGCTGGGAATGGCGCAGCAGCCAAAACAAAGAGAGGGCTGTTTTCGCTCCCCATCCATGAAAATAAACCCTCAACTGAGCTTTCCAGCTGAAGGAGCTGGCCGGTGGAGGAGGGGAGGGAACGGGAAGGCAAGGGGTTCTGTTTTGCAAGTGAGGCCAGAAACCCACAGAAACCAATGTGGTTGCTGATGAGGTGTCACACACACACCCCACCCCCCACCTCACCCCACCCTGTCACGCAACCGTTACCCTACATGGCAATACCTTCACCCTCCTCCCCCCCACACCTCCTCGACAATGTGAGATGTTGAGCCTTACTACATCAGGGAGAGACGGCGTCGTGCTCCCCCCTTCAGAAAGGCTTAAGAGTGACAACACTACTCTCCCTCCGTTTTCTTTCTTCAAAGTGTGCCATATTTGTATTGCCTTTCCTAGAAGGCGGTCGTCCCTCATGCACTGCTGGAATAGTGTTGAGAACATTCAGTGACACACACACCCCTCACGTCTTTGCCGCTTTCTCCCTCCCTCTCTGTGCCACACATAAACACTGACTCACTCTCTCTTTTGCCCTTATGCTGACATGTTCATCAGAGACAGTCAGTTTTCATAAGGTCCCGGGCTGGGCTTGCATTACCTGGAACTGTTGATGCAGTGAGCCATGTGAACTTGGAACTGGAAACAGATGTTGAACTCTGTAGCTAAGTCACTCTGGCTGCCATAAAGCCTCTTACCTATGGGATTATCAGATATGTGTGTGTGCGCACACGCAGAAGTATGTGTGTCTGTTTGATCAAGAAAAACCATTTCCTTGATGACACGTTCAGGATCTGGGTTAATTGTGTTTCACAGAAACCAAAGGATTTTGGAGCTATTTCTACATTGTTTCCACCAAATGCTCTGATTCGTCCTTTGTTGTGCTGCTTGTGTTGGCTGTAATCCTTGACATGAAACTTGGTTAACACTTGACTGATTGGATAATTTTGCTTATGTCAGTTACTATCCTAATGCAGCTCTTTTCTGCTGAAAATAACAGGTGCTTCTTTGTTTATTGTTATTTTCACCATGTATATACAATGGAAGAAATTGGACTTGGCCCCAGTCAGTGATGTGGATCATTAAAGAACTGACTCCATATTGACCATGCAGTGCCCCATCTGGCCCCCCCTTTCTGTTTTTTTTTTAAACAAAAACCTTTCTAATCAGGCCATCGATGCTTTTCTAACATTATTTATGCAAAATTTCTTTTTTTTTTTTTTTTTTACTGTCCCTCATGTCTTAATTGCAGACCCAGATGTATTTTGATATTAGATTTGCTTTAAATGAAGAGCCTCATATGTTGTTGGCGCTGCTCCTTAAAGCAGCATATATGTGTAAATCCTGTGTAGCTCCCTCTTTGTGTTCACTGTTTGAGTATTCTTGTGAAACCAAAGTTTTGCCAAGTCATGGGTTTGAGCACGGACCAAAGATGTTTTTTGTTTTTTTTAAAATAAGCTTTTACAACAAGAAAATATCCTAACGCAGACAGATCCCCCAATTCATATTCAACTGTTTTCACTTTTTTTCTTTTTTCTTTAAATATGAGACATCGTGCAACCTTTTTTTTTTTTTTTTTTGTAATTGTAGTAATGACCGTGTAGGAATAAGGCCATAAAAGCGTTGTAAAGATAATACTACAGTACTGTCTGCTACACAGCCCCATGCAATAAGCAGCCTCAAAACTTAACTCACCGTGGAAGGCCTTGACAAGTCATTGCACAGTCAGCCGTCTCCTGCTCAGAAGCAGGTCTTTGCTTTTTCTACTGCAGCTGCAGGCAGCTCCAAGCTACATGTATGAAAAAAAAAATCAAACTGCAGATGTATTTGCTTTGTATTAAGCTTGTTTGTATGATGCATGGTACCTTTTTATGTAATGTGTATAGTTAATTGCACTATTGTTTGTTTTTAACTAACTTGGGAGTGCAATAAAAACTATGAATACTGTATGTAATTAATAAAAAAAAAGCACCATTTTAACACATTGTGTTCAGTCCTATTGTTCAGCCTCATCCATCATTTCCCCAGCAGAAAATGTGCTTTCTCGTGCCCTGACCTGTGAAGCAGTGTTAAGACTATTGTTTTCAAGCAGGCGCATTTTATAAAAGCCTGAAGTTTGGCGCCAGCAGCAGAGCCGAGAGTTACCTCCCCCAAAGTTTTTCTGGTTAAAAACAATAGCTGGTTGAGCAAGCGTTGCTAAGTGCCTTTACGTTCCCCCGTGGTAATGAGCCTTAACTGAGTTACACGAACTGCCACCAGTACACTCGGCACCAGGTGAGGAGAAACCTGTTTCATCTAATAGATGGGCTCAGTCTGACTAATGGGAGGCAAAATGATCTGCACATAAAAGCCTCCAAGCATGCCTTCAGATAACACCTGAAACAAAAACTATAGAAAATGTGTTTATTCATCATTTTAAAACAGGTCCAACAAGCAAAGCGACATGGAATAGTATATTCACGATACAGAGGACGCAAGTGAACCAGCTAGTTTTTTTTAAAGTATACTTACAGGCATCGAAAGTGTTAAATTGAGATCTATCCTTGTACACCGTGTTCATCTGTGCAAACTGTTACTTTCTTTAAAGCAGAGAACAAATGCTGTTAAAATGTCAATCCAGTTTATATGGCAGGTATTTTAACACCATTTATGGCTCGAGTCCAACTTTGACTTGACATTCTTGTTGGTCATGTACAGTGATAACAAATGAGCACTGTGCATCAGCAGCAGACAGATGGTACAACGCACCATGTCAGAAATGTCTGGGATAACAAAACCTACACCAACTTATTGCTACGCATTCTGTCAGTCCTACCCCCATTAATCAAGGCAGTCGTTCTTTAGGCTGTGGATGTTTCACTGTAAATTAACCGCACAAAATCTAAAGTACTGTACTCTGTATAAAAATAGACCAAAACAAGGCAACAGGTTGTTTTACATTGCTGAAAACAGTGGGGGGAAAAAGGCTACAAGGGATAAAGTATAGGAAAAGGAAACATGTATTAATGAACATTTATAAATTGTTTTGCACACAAATGATATTGATGATTTCAAGAAATAACTACCGTTAATTTTACTTCACTTAACGATTGGGTTTGTTTGATGTAAACTGTAAGAATCTCCAAGATGTGATACAATACAAAATAATTGGCAAAATATATAGTTTATATCATGAAACTTGGTGTTAACATTTATCTCTCAGTCTCTTGAATTTTGAGACACAAACACTATATAATTACATGCTATAACAAGCCAATAAATATTTTTTTCAGAAAAGCAGCTATAGCCGAATACAGGTGTATTGTGGGAAGCCTTTATGTATGAAAAACATTTTGGAGAGTGAAGAAGGGGCACTGAGAATAAACTAGCTAGTCATGTATGCTGAATAGGTTGTAGCTGAGCTACAAAATGAAAAGTCTGTTCACTGGTCTTGTGTGCCCCAGGAAATGTAATCTGGCCGTGTGGCTGCGCTGTACTCATCCACCAGCTGCTGGACAACTTCGCGAGAGTTGTCCAGCTCATCAAAGTTGTCCTTGAATATGTCCTCTTTGCGGAACTGCTCCAGGAAGGCCTCACGCTTACGCAGTTTGTCATACTGCCTGCACGTCCGCTCAAATAGCTGTGGGACAGCAACAAAAGAGGACATCAGATTTAACACTGTGAAAGGAGGTACTTCTCATGTCCCTGTTCTGAGCTCTCTGAAGCTTTCTGTTTTGTTTCTTCATTACTGTTACCAGAAAGGGAAAATAAGTTATGACTTCACTGACACTTCCTTTGAATGACTAATTTCCCCTTTCTCCAATTTAAGACCTAAAGTAGTGAGAAATGTAGGTACTGTAAAGTCACCATCAGGAAAAGTTTTCTCAATCAGCTTACATAAAGTAATAAAGTGATGTCACATGGCAGCATTTTCTTTCAACTGTTATAAACTAATAAAAAGAAAAACACCTGCTTTTGAGTAAAATGTCTAGTTTGGCAACATAACAATCCAAAACCCTGTTTTCCTGGAATTTCCCTTCAACTGCTGCTGCAGAGACTCAACTTCAATTGTAGGAGAATACACATCCTGAAGTATGAAGGACAAGGTTGAGATCTCTACTACATACAGTGATCACAAATTGGAAGAGACTATAACTGAACAGGCTGAGGTGACACAACAATAAGATTACCACTTACATTAGAGATACTTGTGTGGTTGGCCATCATCAGGCCGCTGACTCTGTGAGCTGAAGGCAGGTACGGGGACTTCCTGGACAAAGCTACCTGGATGCTGGCAGGACCCCAGGGAATGAAGCTGGCAAGCTTGCGTTCACGGATCCTTTGGAGGCTTTTATGCACCTACGGCACAGTCAGTTCAGTCATGTTTAGCTATTTGGTCCTCATATGAATGTAGTTCAATACCTCACACACATGCTGTACACTCGTACCTGTGTGGGGTCAACCTCTCCCTGGATGATGTTGAGGATGGCAATGTAGCAGTGGCTGGGCTGCCTCTCTCTGCCTGTGGACACCATCACGTTCTTGGGTTGCAAAAGCCTCCTCATCACATCCAGCACTGTGGTTTTCCTCACACTAGCGACCTGAGACAAAGCAAGACAATTTATTTCAAACTCAACATCGTGGGGACCTTTAATATTTCAAATGTTACAGGCTGATCTCGCTTAACGTCACCGAGTGACACAACTTACCGACTGGTCAGTGGTGAGTGGTGTGTATCCAGTCATAAGGAAGTGGAGACGGGGTGTGGGGATGAGCGACGCTATCAGCCCAATAAGGTCGTTGTTCATATAGCCTGGGTAGCGCAAGGTGGTCGTGCTTGCAGACATGATGGTGGAAACCTGTATGTAGAAAGGTTAAAGGAGACACAGGGTTTTATTGTTAACTCTAAGCTTACAGCTGAGTTTAAAGAGGTTAGGGCTAGAAAATATATCAAATTAAGTCAATAAATTTGCAATTTAATTTTTTTATTTAATGTGTAACAAATTTGGATGGCAGCTGGTAACATGAGCTCTCCTTGAAAAATGACATTCGATTCACAAGTCTTTGCATTTACAAATGGTATTAAAGCAAGTTCTTATCATCTCAATTCTGCCCACAGTTGGATCCAATCTTACAATGTAAATTATCTTGTCATGTCTGACTGAAACCACAACAGACTTGGCATGTCTCAGTTCTAAAGAAGCAACATTGTGACCACCTGTTGCTTCTGTTGGGTTTATTCAAAGCCTCTTTCGGACATGCACTCCTTTCCAGAATTCTGACAGCATCAGAATGTTGGCTTTATGTCTGAAAGAGCACCTCTGTAGCCATAGTTGCAAAGGCAATCTTAGTAGGTCAAAATCATGTTCAACAAACCACAAGTGACGTCTTTTCAGCGGTTTGTTAAATCTTTTCTGAGTGTATAAAATACCTGCAGCATCAGGATCCACATGAGCGTGAGTTGCACGCATTTATGTATGTGGAACAACAGAAGTAACTTCATTAATTACCCATAATTATTACTTATCTCTGACACAGAGACAAGACCTGTCTTGATCTTAGGTCACGAGTCACACTGTGTACCTTTCTTTACTTCAGACAAAGTCACAGCTAAATCATGTGTTACACAGTGGATTTAGAGTTAGTCTTATGGCTTTATAGTCTTATTAGTGCATTACTATGCATCCTGTCACTTATGGCACAGGTACTGTTGCTCTCTCTGTCACTGTCTGCGGTATGCCTGAATGAAGTAGTGAAGAACATCAGTGTAAAAGTGTCCCAAGTGGGCTCAAGTCAGCAGGACTTAGATGATTTTTCAAATTGTGGAACAGATTTTTGTTCTGAAGAATGTGGCCACACTACATGCACACCTGGCAGAGATTGTATTCAGTGAGTTCTGCACGCATTTACTCTTTGCATTAAGTTGGGTTTTTATCCTGAGACAGATCACATAATTCCAGGTATACATGGGTATTATTATATTCCACTCTATGCTAAAAATGATAATTTACCTGATCATATCCACTCTACAAAGGTAAAACCACGAGTACGAACAGTCTATGAGATAACCTGAATATTTATATAACCTTGCAATTATGAGAGTCATGCAAGTGATGCAGGTCTTCTATTCCTGCTCAACTGACGTGCACAAAAATGCTCTCAAAAAGTCTAACATGTCATTCATTCAACAATTTTCCAGCAAAATAAAACAAAATAAAATTGAAAAAAAAAAACAGAAATTGTGCACTCCAAGTCTGGGGTGAAAAAAAATAAAGAAACAAATAAAATTGACACTGTATATTTTGGTCCTATAGCCAAACTCTAAAAGGAGCAAGCATAAATTCAAAACCTCTAAGTGTGGCTCCCGTCAAGCAAGCTAACATACCATTTGGAAACTGCAGCCATGTGCAACTCATTTCTAAGAAAACTGAAATCCAGTCTGACGTGCGACTGACTCACCAAACTAGTTCGTAAATCTCGTAATTTTTGGAGTGAGCGCCATGTGTCTCGACATTTGTCTTTGTTTAAATACAGTCAGGTAGACTGCAGAGCACACCTGTAACTAAAACCTGCTGACTGACAAGCTCAGAAAGAAGGCAAGGGTTGTCAGATTGAGTAATATCTCTCACTCACCAGCTGATTGATCTGGGAGAACGAGGGGTTCTGGATATGCAGCCTGTCTGTGGCAATGCGATTTAGAGCCGTGTTATCCAACACCACCTGATGGAACACACACACACAATGACACAGAAGGCAATTATTGGAGAAATTAAGAGAAAAAACAGGGAGGGAGAGATGGCCTTCAGCACAGCAACTTGGTGAAAGTCAATACACTGCTACGATGGCAAAGAAAGACTGAGACGGTATCGCAGTAATGACGCAGTCAAGGAACCTCTTAAGAAGCCACACAGTGTGCTGTTGTTAGGAGAGTTGAACATAAAAGACACACTGTGCAGACGCAACAGGGGGACCAATTCTTGGGCAGATTCTATTAGCTCTGGGGCTAATTTAATCAACATGAGGGCCTTATGCAAGACCCTGGAGGAAGTAGGTATTAAAGAGGAAACACCATTAGACTGCCAGAGCATCTCAGACTAATACAATCACCAATTTAAGACTGAGATTTAATAAGTTCGATTTTGTAAGGCCTTAGTGCTGCCACTGCAGTTTGCTTCTTTAGCCGTCTGTTACACAAGCAGTGGAGCAGCCTAAAGAGTACATTTTGAACAGGAAAAGTGATAAAAGTAAAAACATTGTACATTTCTTTCACAAACTAAATAAGTGCAATTTGAATGAAAAAAATACTCTGAGAGAAAAAAAGACATTTCAAAGCATTCATTAATGCACCCAAGAGACTCAGCTGTAGTGCTTAAAGCCTATTGCATATAGGATTTACCTAATTTTAAAATGCAAATGGTGCAACTTTACGGTGAAGTAACACTGTTTCACAACCCTTCACTCACTGAAAATTCACATAGAACAAAGCCAGCAGGGTGTAAAGGGGGTTTCTGGTTAAAAAAAAAATACAGTTTTTATATAAGGCCCTGCTGGAACAGTGTATAATAGGCCTGAGAGACTTAATCAAACATTTTTCTTGCAAGTGTCATTGGTCTTTGATGTCTCAATAGAGTCTGAAATGTCCCCTCACCACATTTTGATCTTTGCCATTTACGTCAGAACACATGAAGCCAAACTTCTTTAACAGTCTCACATCACATCGTTATTTTACTGGCATCGTGACTAGCCACCTTTTTTAGTAAAATAATTTTAGTTTCCTGTTTCAGCTCAGCGGAACAGTTTAGCTACTGTGTTGCATTTGAACTTTGGTTCAAGTGGCACCATTACAAGCTAACCAGGACTCGTACAAAGGAATTTTATGTCATCCTGTGAGGGTATTTGGTGCCGCGGCTGCATTGTGAAGCAAAGAGAGCAGTGGGATTAATCAACATCCATCCTTGAGTGCTGCAGCTCACCACGCAGTCGGCATTCTGGGTGAGCCTCTTCAGAGTGAGCAGCGAGTTGTACGGTTGGACAACCACGTCACTCATCTCGTCCTGGTTTGGGAAAACAGAGTAAGTCTGCACCAGCTTCTTTGGGTACCTGAAGAACAGATAAATGTATAACTCACACACATCATATCACAAGAAAAATCGAAGACAACGAGATGCATGTGTGCTTGTGGACCTGTCATTTAGCTTCTCCAGTAGGTACGATCCCAGCCCCGAGCCCGTCCCCCCAGCGATCGAATGACACAGGACAAACCCCTACAAAGACAAAGGGTTACTCATTACCTGCAATTTCAAGCCACAGCATGTGCCACATGTGTGCAAAGCTTACTGTAAACTCTACTGATGCAGAAAGCTGAATGTGTGTGGGTGAGCAAATGCCTCTCTTCCTAGGCAGTTATATAAATGGGAGTGCAGCCCCACCTCACAAATAGGCTCCCTCACCCCCCAAGACAGCCCTGTAATACCTGCCTTCTACGCTCGCCCGGCTATTATCACCAGACATGCTACACGCCACACCCTGCCAACATACACACGCCCACGGCAGCTCGGCCCACCTTCCTATCCAATGCACACATGAGTGCGCACGCTAAATAATAATGTGGGGTCATGATGTGAATGAGTTACAGAAATTGCAGACCTTCGAGGGGAAATGCGAGTGTTATTTTATGGGAGGCTGGCAGTTGAAGAAAGTTCACCAAAAAAAAAAGAGGCTAAGAATAATAGTGAGGCATGGCTGGGACTTTGCTGGTTTTAAGATGACAGGCTCTGGCACCATTTTAACGTATCGAGTCATTCATTTCTACGTGCATTTTACCACAACAAAGATGCAACAGTCTGCCTGAATGACTAAAAGAACTTAAGCTGGAGTAAAATCAAGTATTCCATGATAATATTCAGACGATGAATGGATGAATGAATAGGCTTACTGAGCCAGACTACAATATATCATTTCAGCATCTGAAAGTTGCACATAAGCAATAGTCACTTTGAAGGTCATTGAAGCATAATGTGAAATAAGGCCACATAACTCAACCACACTGTACAATGTTTTCTTTTTTTTGCTAAAAAAAAATCTATTTTTCCATGACTAATCCATACAAGAAATGTGTCTGATATATTTTCAATAAATTTGAAGGTTCTTGATACAGTTTTTTGTGTTTTTTTCCCCCACAATAGACAGAATTTGGTAACATGCAGGCTCTACGTTTGCATAAAAAATGAGCAAGAAACAGGAGTAAAGCAATGAGAAAGAAGATTTTGTTGCAAAAGGAAACACAACATCCGTTATACAGAGATATTTAAACTACAGAAACGATGGTTTTCACCAAAAGCAAGTACTCTGCCAGAGGTGTCTAGCCACTACTTGGGGCAAAACAACTAATCTGTTTTGTTTTAGAAACATTTGCCAGGGTTACACCATGTGATAAACAAGCAAACCTGCTTTTTCCAGCTCTTTTAAAAGCATTTTTTATTTTCTATGCAGATGCACTCCCCTACTTAGTCATCCTAATTAATCTATTTAGAATGATGATGATTATTATTATTATTTCCAAATGGAGTAATTCAAGACATCTGGTGAAAATTCCTGCATTTTTTCATGATGGAATATATAATCACAGAAGAACATATAATATCATGCAGCCCTATACTGAGCACAGGTCCAGGAGTCCAGCTGAGCCTCGCTTTCAAAATGCCACCAAGAGATCAGAGAATCAATCACAAGGAGACACAAAATGATCACAGAGATGCAAAAAACGACAACATCTGGACACAAAACAACGGCATCACACCACTACAAAGAGACACCGAATGACACAACAACAAAGAAACTAAGTTACCACAAAGAGAAGCACAACAAAGACAAAGAGGCAGAAAATTACTAGCAATTGACTAAAAGGGACCACAAAGAGGCAAAGACGACAACAAAGAGACACAGAATTACCACAAAATGACAAGAGTTGAATCTATCCTTAAGCCAGACGGAATAGTCCTGCTGTTTCTACAAGCTCAAGTCTAAAATAATCCCTCAAATAAACTATAAACAACAAATACCTGATGCTTTATTGCATGTCGGAGGTTTAGGCTTCATTGCAAGCTGCTCTTAGGTGGGGTGAGTCAGCCAATAGACTACACAATGTGATATCATTGCACACAACCATATCACTTTACTTTTAAATTAGTTTTTAAAATTCCACACTGCCACAACCTCAGTCACCCGCGGCCCCAGGGATAGTCGGTATGTTTGATAAACTTGCCTCCAGACTGTCGCTGCCATCTGCCTCTCGGTCAATGATGTCAAAGATGTCTTCTTGAATTTTTTTACCCTGCGGTTATAAAAAAGAAAAAGAGAGAAAAGAGCAGAATATCACATGCTTAAAATGCCTTTAATTAGAAATAATTACATAAAGCTAAAGAGAGAAACATGTTATTTGTGATGATCACCTGTGAATATCCACTGGCCCAGTTGTTCCCAGCGCCTCCACCGTGCTCAGACAGGTAGATGTTCTCTGGATTGTACAGGTTTGCGTATGGGGAGTTGAGGATGGAGTGGATCACACGAGGCTCCAGATCCAGGAGAACTGCTCGAGGGATGTAGTGTTCGTCATCAGCCTGAGGAGATTCATCAACAAGCAGGGGTTACATGGTGATACTGATGTTTATGTAGGTGACATAAGCTTTTCTGTGAGCTCCAACTGTCATCACTGTCTCCTCTGTTTGATTGGGCTGCACCCATTCATCACATGACCAAGAAAATTAAAGAAGTTTGCTGCACAATTTATCCTTCTAACATGGCATCAACATTGTGAAAGGGTCATTTTTTATTTTAGATTATTTTTCGAGCTTTGTCGCCTTTATTGGATAGGACAGTGAAGAGAGACAGGGAAACGTGGGGAGAAGAGTGAGAGAAGGACATGCAGCAAATGAGCTGCTGTCTGGACTCAAACTGCGGCCGCTGCATCTGGGACTACAGCCCCTGTACATGGGCCACCGTCTAATCCGGTTGAGCTACCGGGGCACCAGTGAAAGGGTCATATATTTCATTTAACCCAAACCATGTTTTATTCCTAAACCTAGCTAAGTACTTTTGGTGTGTAAACCTAACCGAATAGCATGGAAAACAGAAATTGCAATATTCACTTTAAAATACTGGTCCAACATCTAGTCGAGCCCTACTCTCTTGGGCTGACTTTGTTGCTCTTTGACTATCTTATTTGCAAACACTCAGTTCCAGTTTTTAATGTTGTGAGTCATTGGTCTTAAAGCTATTCTGTCACTCAGGTGTGTTGGATTTGTAATATTACTTTTAAGTCCATCTTTAGCTCGTTATTCACTGTGTGATAGATTTGAAGCATGTGATGTTGCTTTACAACATGAGACACCACAACCGTGACTGTCGCACAAGGAAGACAGCACAAATTAGTAAAACCATTGGCATGATAAGTTTAGCTTTAGGTCAGACACTAATACAATAATATAAATGGAAAAAATATGAATGCATGCATATGGTATTTTCTGATATAGCAAAAACTAAATAAATCTAATTTCTATAGCTATGGTTAGAATGTGGTTTATTTTGTCCGCTGTGCATCAAAAGTTGCTGTTGCTGTTCAACTGGTGGCAACATCTCGACCATGGAGATATTCACACCGTCGCCAGGTTTAGCTTTAAAGGACAATAATCAGATAGCGTGGATGCTGACATCTTAGTGTGGGACATTTGTTCTCTAAGAAGTCGTCTCAGACAGCATGGTACGATAAACAATCAGATACAAGATGTGACACTACATGATCCCATCCACAAAATGTCCACCAACTTTGCCAAAACCCTTCAGGAAAAGTGGGATAACAACCCAAGAGCAGCATCAACAACATCATTAACTGTGTGTTGAATAGATTTCTGGTCTATGACAACACTATGCGCATTGTCATTTTCCAATATAGTGAGTACTCAGGTGTTATCCAATCTGTTAAGGAGACGCTGTGTGTTCTAAGAATCAGTTATGAACCCATGATAAAAAAAAAACAAACAAAAAAAACACAATTTTATACAATATCACATAATGCGTTTATATTTTTGGTCAGCGTACATCCTAAATTGCAGTCTCTGCATCATTTCATGTTACCAGTTTCCATTAAATAACAGTTGAGGCCTACTTCTCCAGCTAGTTATGTTCCTGGAGGCTTCAGCTTCTTTCAGTTTACACTACAAGCACGCCATCTAGTGGCAATTAATGTTGTTGTACTTCAGCTGCACTCACATCAGCTCGAGACCCCGGACATATGCTGTGTATACCTTACATGCAGAAAACAAAGGTCTTTTGTTACACGTGACACCAGAAATAATGAAGCGAGGCTGTGCACTTGAGCTCCAGTTACCTGATAGAAGAAGACGTCTTTTCTGTCGGTGCCTTCTGTTGCAAACTCCTCCACAATCCCCTCTGGACTGATGCCATGCTCTGCACACAGCTGCTTCCAAAATTCAAACCCGACTGCAAAACAACACGGAGGGAAACATGTTAGCATAAAGTCGTGTTTGATAATTAGCAGTTTGTGACCTTTCATGTTTATTAGTCAATCGGCACAGACGTCAGTTAACATCCCCTGCATCACTATCTGATGACAACACACTGGAAGCTAACTTAAATTACACTACAATATCTAAGTAGAGATCCTATTAGCTATAAGTCAGCTGGAATAAAACAACGCTGTGGCTGTTTATAGCGTATTTAAAGCTAGCTAGACTTCTATTAGCACTAAGCTAGTGTCGTTGCACAGCAGAATGCCTGACAGATCATGAATAGCTAACAGAGGCAGGACGCTGGCTAACGATAAAAGGGGCAGCATTTTAACTCCGTCTTACTTTGATTTCCACATTGTCCAAGCTGAAGCGTTATGATTTCCCGCGGCATGTTCAGTCCTCAGTTGCTCTTTATTTGGCGAGCCCGCTAGCCTGCCTGCTAGCTAAATAATACAAGACAAACAGCTCGCACCGCTTCCCTTCCAGCAGCCCGCTCCTTCCCGCTTGGTGCTGAAAGACGACTTCTTCTACTGTTTGTTAACAGCTCGCAACCAGGTATGAAAGCCCGGTGCTGCCACCTACTGGGCTGGAGTGTGTAGCGCCACACAGCCGCATCCTCAACATTAATTTGGCTAGCTGGTGACAATTTCTGCATGAGTTTTCAATATCAAAAACTTACTACTCTCTTTTTATGTGTACTTTTATACTTGTTTGCACTATTTCTTATATTTATATGTACATTTTCCTGTCGAGTATGTGTGTATCTCTATGTGTAATGTTGCTGACAACACTGTGAATTTCTTCATTGTGAGATAAATAAAGGCTTATCTTATCTTATCTTATCTTATCTTATCTTATCTTATCTTATCTTAATAATCAATCGAATAGAATAGAATAGAATAGAATAGAATAGAATAGAATAGAATAGAATAGAATAGAACTTTATTTTCCGTCAATGACGACAATTTTCCACTTTGGGGGACAACGAAGTTTTATTCTATTCTATTCTATTCTATTCTATTCTATTCTATTGGCACATGCAAAGTAAAAGTATCCCTTAAACATGCATTGATACCTTCATTCAACCCGCCAAAATCATATACATACAACCATGAATTTACCGTCTGGTCGGAACTTACTGATTTACTAATTTAACTGAACGTAGTTTGAATGTCCTTTACAACAACAACAACAACAAAAAAGAAGTATTAGTAAATTACATTGTTATTTTGCTTTGACATTGGTGAAATTAAAGATATGTTTAATTACTGATCTCTAGTGGCCAAGATAGAAAACTTTTGTTTTTTTAATTATTTTTTTAACAGTCGGTGGTTGCTGTATCTATAACAGCTTTGTAACAGTTTATCTGCCTTACTTTCTGTAAAAATCAATCAAAATAAAACACATTCCCAGTATCTTGTCGCTTCAAACGGAGACGTTTAATAGTTTGTTTTTCGGATGTATTTGTCCTCGAAAGGATTCACAACAGTTGAAAATATTCCTATTACACATGAACACAGCATGACGCAGGGCTGGTGCGGATTGTGATTGGGCCGTTAAGGGCTCAGAAAAACAGGTTACGCCATATTGTCCGTATCGAAGAGCTCTACATTTCTGCAAAAATGACTAAATAGTAAGTGTCAGCTTCTTCTAAATTGTGTTCAGTTTGGCTCTGATAACATACGTTCTTGTGATATAGTCGTACGTGATTTTTTAGACATTGAAGCTATGATTAATCCCGCCTCGCTCTCTGCTAGCTAAGAAATCCGTTAGCACAGCACTGTTAGCCGATGTTGTGAGCGGAGCGGCTTCGTGGCGCTGTGGTGCCCCTCATCAAGCTGTTTACCTGTCCCCACTTAGCTTAAGTCTTTATTTTACAGGCTTACTTTATCGACGCTAGACGCTAAGATGGCGCACACTGGAGCAATGGAAGATGCGCCCATGGATGATTGCTTTGCCAAGCAGGGGACTGGCAGTGTCTGCCTGCGAAGTCGCCCATGCTCCAGCGAGAGAGACGGTCATGTCCGGGCTGTCAAAGCTGCTCTTCAGTCCAGGTTGGGGCCCTACGAGCCCGTCCTGACCTACCTACAGTCTGTCCTTGTGTGGGAAAGACCCTTTCAGTGTGTGCTGCTCTACACTGTGGTCAACGTTGTATTCTGGTGAGTTTCAGTTTATGCATTTTGATTGCAAACTTGTTGTGTTTCCTGTGGGTTTGTGTGTGTGTGTTTTTGGGGTTTTTTTTGGTCACATCAACCTACATTCACACAACTCCGAGGCTGCTTGGTCGTAAAGCGAAAGCCAGCATGACTCCAAGCAGCTGGTGCTTCTACACAATGCAAATGTTTCACCTGTCAATTCAAGACAAGCCAGATGGCTGAGTGGGGGTACTATTTATAGACACACTGTGCAAACACTTCTGACTCTAATGTCGCTCCTAAGTGTTGTCTTAATCTGGAAAACTGTGTTCTGTTGTAGCTTATCAGCTTTACCAATGTCATTGTTGATGCTTTGTGGGCTTCCGAGGTTGTAGAGGTCAAATTTGGAATTAACAGTTTCATCTGTTTTTACAACGGACAAACTTTATTTTCCCTTTATTTGTATGCAGCTTCTATACAACGAATTATAAGTCCATGATGATGAAGTATATTTCCCAGAGTAGCATGTGTGATTAAATTACTTTAGCATTAGGCCAGCCATTAACCTTGATTGCACTTAAACAAAAAATCTGCTGTTAAACAATGGGCAAGTTTTGAACTGGAGCAAGTTTGGGCTTAATTAGGTGACCTGGATGGATGGTTAAAATCGCTGACCTGGGACACAGAGAAAGCCAGCCTGGGTAGCCTGGTTGTGGAGCTCAGGCATTCAGCTCCTAATCGATTAGACCACTAGACGTTTCAGGGCACTCCTCCTGTCTCTGTTTTACTTGTGCTTCGGCACACACTCAGTAGGGCAGACTAGTTTCTGCCCAGAGACATGCACCCATAACCCCACAGTCATGAGGAAATATGGGCAACATTTCTGACAGTAGGGCAGTGAGGTTGTCCTGATTTGTACTTGTAATGCATACTCCAATTTGAATACAAAGGCGTTCACAAAATATGAAAATCCAAATCCACTACCACATGAACTGCATCTTAAGTGCTGTAGAGTTTTCTATTCATTTGCTGATCACATTGCTGTTACTGTCTAATCAACATACTAAGTCTTTCATAGACTTTTGTAAACAATTTTTTTGGCTGTATTTACATATTGCATCACTACCCTAATACCAATAGCTCTTGTTCTGCCAGCAAATTCTTTGTTAGGTTAAGCTGTAACTGCTGATTGGTAGAATCAATCCTGCAGAATTGTTTTAGTCAACAAATTTTCAAGTCTTGTGATCTGAAACTTGAGCAGCAGTTAGAAATCTAAATTGTTAGAGCCTCAGGTTGTGATATCAAGATGTGTGCAAGGGGACAAGGCTTCTTAAAAGGTAGAAAACACCTTAAACAACACGTACAATATCATGGCTGAATGAACAGCCTTCAGCTTCTCATTGTTGGTGGATGAGAGCCAAATCAATAAACACCTACTTTAACATCACATGTACATTGTATTAATATTACAGCTGTGCCGCTAGGTTTAGCGAAAGGAGCTGAATATAGGTATCCTAATTGCGTGCCATCTTGTCTGGTTAATCTTCTAAATAAGGTTGAATAGTTCTTTTTTTTTTTTTTACTTCTGATGAAAGGAAATAGTAGGGCATCACTTAAGGGTTTTTTGGTTGAATTTATTTTGTACTAAGCTGCTAAATATTACAAGTTATTCATTGTTTTCTCCTTGGGAAACAGGCATGGGATGCACCGTCTGTTCATGTGTTTGCTCTGGCTTTTCCCCCAGGTTCTTCGCCTTGACCTCACTGCGCTTGCTGTTCTTGCTGGCTTCAGGTCTGGCTGTGCTCGTCTGTATTGATACTTGGAGAAAGAAGATCTGGCCCAAGATTAGAGGTGCGACACATTTCCACAATCAGGGCCCTTTATATTTACATAACTCTTTTCCTTTACTTTCCCTTTATAATGTTAATGGTTTCTTGTATTAATCACACCTTAGATCATTTCCCAGTTTTCTGTAATTGCATCAAATATACTTTCATTGCAGGAATAGATATACCACCAGTCAGCAGTCTTGCACTATGGACTTTGCAAGTGTTATTACACATGGAATGGTTAATCCTCTGCACTTTTTTTTCAACTTCTTTTACTTACTGAGGAGACAAAGTCCTAAGGAGATTGTAGATGGAAGAGGGGAGTCAAGCTAATGTCTGAATACCATGTTAAATACAGATTAGGCTACTTTGTATATACTGTACACTGAAATTATCTTTACATATGATGTTTATGTATATAGGGATATATTATATGTAAAGTGATGTATGTCCTTTCTTGTCCACAGTCAGAAACGTGGACGACTCAGAAAATGAGAGGTTTGTTGCTGTAGCCACATTTTTTCTTGACTGTAATGAGCTGGTAATGTGACAGCATTCAATTAGAGGGGGAAGTTTAAAATATTGTCTGTTTGTCTAGCTGGGGCCTGGTGCAGCCCGGCATTCTCAGTGTGCCTGAACTGTGCCACCACATTGCTGAGGCCTGGGTCAGTGCAGCAGTTCTCACATCCAGTGTGGTGCAGTACAAACAACAAAACCCTGGCAAAGTAAGGACCACACAGTACTACAAAAATAACGCCCAAAACATGTAATTTTTCACATTCTATGGGATTCTTATGTATGAAAAATCACATTTTAAACCATGTATTTAATGTCCCTGTACCTATTCTGATTACCTATGGTTCTATTGTATAGTTTATATTCACTGGTAACCTCTGGATAAATGCACCATGGTAAACACATATAGTAGGTGCTGACTTGTTTTCTCTCTGTGTTTTGTTGTTCTGTGACAGTTTTGCATCTGTACCTGTGGAGTGTTCACCTGCTTGGCTGTGATTGGACGCTACATTCCTGGATTAGTGCTCTCCTACTCTGCTTGTGAGTCCCAGCAGTTTAACCAATCCTAAATACAGATACACACCCCTTCACAGGACCTTGTTGGCAGGGAAACTCCGCCTGACTAGTCTGATCAAAAATGCATGAGTGGTGAAACCAGATCTGTGGGGCCCCGGTGCCAGGGCCCGGTCTGTGAGGTGATTAAAGCGTGGATGAGGCATACAAGACAGGAGTGAAGCGGGGAATGGAGCCAGGCAGAAAGCTAAGGAGGTCAGACAGAGACCGGGCTAATCTCCTAGCCTTCAACCCAACCCATGCAGGCTGCAGAGTTAGGCAGGGCAGACCTGCCCAGGCCCTCTGCTCTGACGTCTGAAACAATCCACAGCTTGTACTCTACATGTTAACTCCCTCCTGCTTCCTCTGCCTTACTTTCTCTATGTCTCTACTGATACCAATAGATGTGTGGGTACAGGGAGCAGTGCAGCACTCCAGAATGTAGACATAACACCAATGAATTACAACTT